GAATATTTTATTTTATTTTGGCTGGGTGAGGTTTGACGTTGTTTGGCGACGTCTTTTCCTAACGATTGGGCATCAATGTTTGGGACGAATCTATTCTTTTCGAGGGAAAGACGCCCCCGAGCGACTCGGAAGCGAAAATTTACTAATTAACGCCATTCCGATTCGATGATGGATCGGTTATGAGGTCGACGGATCGCATGAGTTACATTATAGCGAAATGAATATAACGTTTCGACAGACATTGCATACGAATAGCTGCCGGATATCGACATTTCCGTCATTCTAATGAGAAGAGTTCGTTTGGATGGCGGAGTGCACTGTGGCTGGTCCCGATAACTATTTGAATTTATAATGATCGAAGCTAGTATTTCAAAGTCTTGTCGATTCCGATGGCATTCAAACGAAAGCCGCGGATTGAAGAGTCCGAAGGGAGAGGATTAATCGGTCGATGGGGCAGCACCGCTCTAAAGGATAAAATGTTAAGTAGAAAGATCCATAGAGAATCAGATTCGACAGGAATTATGCAGTGTTGACTGTTTTCAGGGGGGAAACAGCATGAAAAGCGCGCTGAATATGAAAAGCAATACAATTTATTCGAAACGATCGCGTCAGCGTAACAGCAATAGAATCGACACCGATTTCTACGACTACCGAACACGAACTTTTATCGAAATAAAAATTCCTCATTACGGATTAAGAAAGTATCGACGTATTCCCTTGTTGATATCAAGGAAAAGTCCAACAAAAGATCACCCACGAATTAACAAGAATATTAACTCATCGCACAGCGGATAGACCGAGTAGATCAACGATAGATCGACGACTTCCCTCGCATATTTTCCTTGATATTCCCATCAGAATGCACGGTGAGTCGGATAATAATGAAGACGAATCGCTTCGGGTAATGGAATACCCGAATCAAATAGGGGGTGGCTGGTAGTCTTTCGCGAATTGAGAGATCGAATGAGTTCAAGCGAGACAAAAGAGCTGCTTGTTAATATATTCTTGATAACATCATTCTATATTATGCTCGAAAGTCTAAACGTTACTGCGCGGAGTCCCCGTTATTTTTTAACGATGAAGCATTAAAAGACGCGTGCCGTCTTCTTACGTTCATATCGTATTCTGGTCATAAATTGCGCAACGCCGCTAGAGCGGGTGTGCTCGGTTGCTATTCTGGTGATTATCATGATTATAGAGATACGTTTATGGTCGTTTGCCAAGAGAAATGGCAGCATCTACTAGAGGTAAAGTGGCGCGCGCGAAGCTACGGCACCGTTCTTATTGCAGGAAAGTATGGTAATCCGGCAAAGTGTGAAAAGTTCTACGAACGATTATTCAAAAGGAGAACAGTCGTTCTCGCTGCTCCATGGAAATTAGATCGAGGAATGAAATTCTTTCGTCTAATTAGAGCACAATATCTTTTCCAGAAAAAGGTTACACTCTAACCGTCGTCCAACCCCCCCTCTTCCTCTTCACCCTTTCGCCTGCGCCGTAGATCAAACGTTCCATGCGAATTAATTGCTTTCCCGGGGATGACAGTCTACTTTATTTCCCTTCAGCCCTTCCGGCAGTTCGCGTTGAGGCGCATCGAGCCCGCCCTTTGTGATCGAGGATCGAGCCAATTTTGTTGATACGATTATGAAATATTTCCTTAATGTCGCAGATATTTCTATCAACCTTTTCACCCGTCTGCACGAATAAAAAAAAATTCAGGTTTTCAGTGATTTATATTCCAACATTTAGTTACTTACGACATTTTCGTAATCACCGTCACATTTACTCCCATTCATCTTCCAAAGGGCCACCGTATTAATCGGTTAACTGTAACCTAGTTACCAAAGTAATATCCTTAGGAAACCTGTAGGTAAAGCGACGCCGTGTTCGCAATGGAATTGTTAATTACAACAATGTTACGCGAAGGACCAAGTTTGATCGATTTATTATTAATTCGATGAAAATCTTGAGGCTACTAATTCTGATGTGAAACACGAATGCTAACGAGCACCATGACGTTGGGTTGTCTCGTAAGTTCGGGTCGAATTTTGTACCGTGTAGAGCTGAAAAGACGATCAGTGGAAAGAATCTCCTGGAATTCTCTTGGAACGATGAAAGGTCGAGTCATTCTTTCGAATATTTAGCATTTTTTTCTGCTATAGCCTAGGTTGCGACGATAATTATCGAAGAAACGGATATTCGAATGGCCGCGTGGTTCGCGAATCGCTGGTAGTTTACGCGAACATCGATAACCGCAGATCGATACGGCGGAAAGTTTCTAATTGCGATAATCGATGTTACTAATGGAGGTTATTCAAATTCCACCGATAATGTTCTGGATTATGGTTGCGGTTTCTAAGTGTTCCCTATCCCTTTGTACCTCTTGATCAACGCGATCACAGTGACACGCGTTTGCAGTTTACACCGGGTGACCCACAGCGATGCTGCCGTTGAATAGCGAGCTGGTGTGTTTGAGCGATCTCGCACGGTCGATGGACTCGCATAAATTAGAAGCGTTAATATGTGTTAGGGCAATACTATTCTGGTTATTGCCCAAGGGATCATAACGTACCCTGCGCTCATTTCGCGCGCCGCTATTGTATTTCCCGTTCCAACGCGATTTTGCGAAACATGGTTCAGTGAATCGCGAAAAGTCATAAATCATACGCCTACGAATGGAAACAATTAATAAATACAAGGTAGAGGGCAGGAAGGAAGGTAATTCAATTATTCCTTGTTACGTTTAAGCGTCTTTTTCTCCCAATAACAGCTCCGTTCGGATCCGCGAAACTGAAACAGGGTTCCCGGAAAACATTCAATAGAAGAAATAATGATAAAAATTGAGGGCAGAAGGCTCGAGAAAGTTATTAGTTGAATATTTTTCATCAAACATCAAAACTTTATTTCTCTTCCTATTTATAATTTTTAGGGGTGCAATTATTGTATCCTCGAGATCACGAATTTTTGTCAGCCCCTTCTTTTTGAGCTCTACTATATCGGTCATTGTTCACATACGACGTGTCTTTTAATATAAAGGTACGTGCTTTAAATATAGAGAAAATGTGAAACGGCTGACTGCTAAAAATAGGGGGCCTAAATACCTCTCGACCACTTGGGAAAATTCTCAACTCCAAATATACTCAATGAACCAAAAGAGCAGTAATTGTTTTTATTCGTGTTGGTTTTCCTCAATAAGGATCTGATATTTCCCACCACACGGGCAGCAAATGGTTGACGCATATTCCAGTTGCGGTAGAATAATGATTTTTAATTAAATTTCATGCTAGAGACACGAAATTGCTATTGTACTAACCATAGAGTAGTATTAACGAGTCACAGCCATGCTCCATTCGTTTGCACATTGGTGTGGACGCATTTACGAGAAATAGTTTCAATATTTGGTATCACCCACACGCGTGGAAAGACGTTTTTAAACATAAAATACAGGGTGTTTCATATTTCAATAGGCAAATTTTGTAGATCTCTGAAAGCTTCATCGAACCAAAAGAACTTGCGTTTACTACGATACAACGTGAACGCAGATCTGCAATATTTACTTTTAGTTTGTTCATACAAGCTTTACTATTCGAAGCCTTTAATTATTTCCATAGACGATAGACCTTTCAATTGCCATATCCGCCATATTTGTTATTCGCTTGTTCGAGTCACGTGACATTTGTATTCCCAGCAGTGCTTTACAAGTCCTCGCGAAAGGATACACGGTTACTCGGCGCGTCGAAATTATTAAAATGTTTCACTTCTGGCAAACGCAATCGGAATGGTCATTTAAATATTATATTCCGCTATTGTATTCCGCGGTACGTCATCGATACGCACAATGAGCGCCAGATTATCGTTTGTAGCTTCAATTTTATTTCGATTCGGAGTTCGATCGCTCTTATCGGAAAACTGTATACTTGCCTGCATATTAGGAACGGTAAGGAAAAACAATCGACGGGATTAAGTACGCACGCATAATAAAAGCGTGCGCGTCGCCCAAGGATTTTGATTACGGCGGCACGGTCCCGGCGTGTGTACGGCGATGCCGGTGTCACGGCCGTTGATTGGCCGAGCGTTACGCGGCGACGTCTCCCATTGGTCGAGGAGCGGAGGTGCGTTCGATAGCCCGGCTCGAACCCCCAGTACCCGGCAGAGCCTCGCACGGGAAACTGCTCCGTTTACGTGTCGCTGGTTCACGAAGCTCCGAAGCTCTTATCCGCGGACCGCGTGCCAAAAATCAAACTGTTTCGGTCGTATCGTTACGAGACACTCGTTCGTCCATTCTTGCGTCTCCGCGACCACGACCGTCGACCGCGTCCAACGACGACGCCGTTCCTCGATCTATCCCTCCCGTCCATTGGTTTCGTTAAACGACGCGCGGTCTGGACGTTCTCCGGCAAAGTCGCCGCGACGCTGTTGTTTTTCTCCGGCTGTCAAATCGGAGCGGCGCGACGCCGCGGATCCACCGACCGCCGCCGGGTGTCGTTACGTGCTTTCATTGTGACCGAGCCCTTTTGTGTTCCGCGAAGCCCTCGTTTATATCCAGTGCCCTTTTGTTGCTTTTCGAAGGATTTTTCATCCAGCATCCTGCGCGACTCCGACCGGGCCGCTTCCTCTCCGCGCTCCCAGCCACTGGTAAGCACTTTTCTTTACGGATTCAAACGACATAAAACATCCTTAAGATGTTTTTCTCGATACGCAAACGCATTAGGAAAAATTAGGAATACCAAATAATCTCGATATTGCAAACCCAAAGAGTCCCTGTTATTGAATCGAGCGAGTTCCGTGTAGCGCCTTTGGCGTCCAGTCGCGTTCCACGCGCGGTTACGTTGCGTATCGCGATAACAGGTCGTACCTGGTCAAAGGTCAAGTCCCGGCGAACTTCGAACCGTGTTTATCGTGTTTCCGTCGATCGTCACGGCGACGTAAACATCGTGGTACGAGATGGTACGTCTACGTATGCAAGAAGTTCCCCCGCTGGATTTCTTTGTACGTGGTAGTTATTCACCGGAAAGCAAATACACCGTTCCCCCGGACCCGTTCGAGCTTTGAGCTTTCGGTCTCGATTTAAAGTCCGTTCGCAAAGAAACCGTCAATATTTGTCGACGACGTTTCAGTCGACGACGTTTCCGCGTTGTCGTTTGTCACGCTCCCGTTCAATATTTGGCTTTTCGCGGCTACCGCGGTGCTTTATGCGACGATCCACGTCACCGACGAATATTCCGCCGAACTTGTTGGAATTGAAAAGTATTTGCTCGGGGCTCGAGTGTGCTCACGAATAATTAGAAGGTTTGCGCGCTACGCGGGACGGGGACACTGTGATATACAATTTTAACAACACTTTGCTTTTAAACACCGTGTCGTGGTCTCCGAGAACCAGTGGGTGACTATCAAAAGGTACGTTCTTACGATCAAATAGCTGAATGTTGTGTTTAGACCGTGAAATACTCGATTAATCTTTGAATACCGTGATCTACCAATTTTCTGTAAATGTTACCCGAAGAATAGTCGATCAAAATGGTGGAATCTGAGTAGTGGATGCATGCAAATTTGAATTCGAAAGTATAGTTTCGGTTCTAAAGCGTTTGGAGCGAGGTAAATACAAAGGTAAACGCTGAGATTCATTGGATCTCGGTGCGCTATATTAGGATCGAGGGAAAATACTGCGAGTAGAGGAATTGCTTTCTTAATTACGACGACTCGTACGATGGACGATCGCTTCGAATCGAATCGCGGCGCTTTAACTTCTGGAATCCACTCGCACGCTTCCTGTTGGTTCGTCGAACCCTCGTCCTTAGTCTTCGTACTGCAATGAGACTAGAATTCATCTCCGTGGGCGAGCTCTCGCTCGAGATGCAAGGGCTTTCCTATTCCTAGCACTCTGCAAGAATCCACTTCTCTATCTGTACGTTTTTCTATAGTTAAACTCTTTCCAACGACGTATCTACAAGTATTTTACTGCAAGTGGAATTATATAATAAATATTGCAGAAATTCTGGTACATCTACTCGACACATTAAACACTTTTTTCCGTGGCTAGCACGAAATTGGATTTACATATTTGACCCACATTTTTAGACACTCGTGCGCCATAAATGTTTCGGTTAATATCCTGAAATATACAGGATTATGCGGCAAAGAGGTACATGATTAATGAAAACACGTTTATCTCTTTTAAAATTTCGAGTGCAATTTCCAAACGTATCGTTGGCTGTCTGAACAACAACCAGCCACTGTCCATCGTCATTTGCTCGTATAATTAGCTGTACATTTGTTCGTTAACACAGGACCGTGCTTTGTATTACCGTATTAGCTGAGATTACGTTTCGCAAAATTTAAACTTCCGCCATCGTTCCGTTTAATTTTCCTCCAACCGTTTCAGAAATATAACTTATATTATTGTCGATATCTCGACGGGTAACCGCGAATTTTGTACTTTAATTTCTATAGTAAATACCGGAGAAAGTTCCCGGGGGCAACAGAATTTCGTTAGCTGTTTTTATTACGCAGATTGATGGCTTTTTCTTCTCGTCCGTGCACGCATTATGTACCCGCGAATACCTTTTTTCTCTTGTTCGCTCGTGAAATTATAATAACCACCTTCGTCTCTTTCAACCCCTGGCGCATTTAATTTTTTAAATCCAACGTATTTCCTGGCGACGCACCTACCCATTAAAAGATTAAAGCGAGACAGCCCTCCCTGTACGAATGTAATTTCTGCGGTGTGTGCACGCGCGCTGTAATAATTTTATTTTTCGCGTTTCGAGCCGCGGAAGGAATTCGCGAGTGAAAACAGAAAGAAAGAATAAAAAAAAAGAGTAGAAAAACGAGCGGTAGGGATATTTTTCGCTGTACGCCGTCGAATCGTTTCGCCGTTCCGCGTCGCAGTCGTACGGATTATTTATAGAATATTGCCATATCCGCAATATGTAGATAACCACACCGCGCCGATATTGGTTTTACGTACGCGGATCTCCCCGGTTGCGCGATGCGTGTACATGTATTTTTGTTACGAATGCAAAGGGCCGCGAGTCGGTATCGAGCGAGAGCCGACCCGCTGTGTTTCCTATAAATATGTACCCGTTTCATGTACGAGTCGAGCGCGATAGACTTTGACGAACCCGCGAGAGGTAACTTATTTTTTTTTAAACAGACGAAAATCCCCTCGATCGTCAGCCATTGTTCGCCGGGGCCAAAGGCAACGCGCGCGTCGTGACGTTGAATGTAAAAGCGAACCGAATGTTTTTCCATTCTTTCTTTTTTTATTTTAATCCTTTACGACGCCGCACGCGAGTGGGAGCTCGCACGCGAGAAGACGAAAATCTTTCCTTCTCGTGCCCCGATCGTATCTCGTTTCTGTTTCCTTCGCGGGAGGTAAAAATTTCGATAATCGTGCGCTACGTGTATTGCACCGGGCTTTGCAGAAACGCGTGGAAGCAGCAGGAGCGATGGTTTTGGACGTCTATTAATTAGGGGCGTGCGGGTATTGTTGGAACGATTTATAGAATTTGCAATTCGCTGTAATGGCGTAACGGTACGAAGGAATGGCGCTGTCAAGGGCGAGGGTCTGAAAGGGAATCGCACGTTGTTACGGTAGGCGTCCGGAAAAGTGGAATTCGTTAAAGTCCCTTTTCGTTGCGCGGCAGGAAACTCGGATTACATCTTATTACACGTGAGAACACCGCCGCTGCATTTATCTTTGTGCGTACTTCGGGATAATAATCGTGTCCGTGAAATACCGCGCGCCTCCCGTACTGTACGTGAGAAAACGGTGGGGGGCTTTTCATTCTTTCGCGAACGTTTAATTGCGAACAGGAACGTGCGACCGTTACAGTCCCTCATAAATATTCGTTTGATCTTTTAAATCACAAATTTCTTCCAATAACGTTCTCGACCTTATCGGTCATCTTTGAACGCAAACGCATTAACGGAAATGTCGGTTCTTCTTTCTTGAAAACTAAACGTTTCGAGTTATATTTCTTTTTCACATACTCAGCTACCGCAAGAATAAACAAAGATAATAAGCATAACTGTTTGAACCATTAGAAAGATACGCTCGGTTGCTCCGAGTCTTCGTTATGCCCGTTCATTATAAACGAAACAAACATTCGTCTTTACGCCGTTTGCCGCAAATGTACCTACTCGAAACGCTTTGAACAAATGATGGCTGCTTTGGCTGGTTTTTACTCTATTTCTCGTTTGCCGCTATGACATCTTCCTTTGCTGGATGCTTTCTTGGTACGTTCTGGTCGAGGTATCTTAGAAATTCTTTCCGAGAATATCTTCAATTGCATTCGGTCTTGTTTTTAAGGAACGACGTTTTTTTATACGTCTCGAACGAAACTGGTTACCAGCAAAGTGTCTTCAGTTTCGTTCGGTCTTCTTCCACTCTTGGCAATTCGATATAAAAAGATAGAATGACGTTGCACACCTATTTCTGTAGAAACTAGGATTCCAAACCTCGTTATAACGTCCCATAGTCTGCTCGCGATTCGAACTGTTTATCGTCAGAGCCTAGCTCGGAGTTTGGCCGTAAGGATGAGAATTACTGTAACGAAACGTGATAAACTTGACGAAGCGGAAAGGGTTAAAAAGTCTATAGCGAGGCAAGGTTCGACGTTCGGGTACGTGTCTTCCCGTCGATACGCCACTTAGGCGCGTCATTGTTCGCCGAGGCCTGTTTTGTTCGTCGCGGAACGTTGTCTCTGTTCACGGACTATCAGGTTCGATCGGGATCCATCGATTCGCGATCGAAGAGGCTCTCGAATCGGGTATAGGCAAAGGGATACGTGCAGAAAAGCGCGACAGAGGCACGACGAAGCAGCCAGAGTCCTCGAGGAGGGCACGAGAGGTGACTAGAGTGGTTCTAGAGTGGCTGGAGCACCAGTGCGAACAGGACTCGAAGAACTTGCGGGGAACCTAATTCGAGGACGTACGTACCCGATGGTAGGGACAAGGGGTTCATGCATATTCAGCGTATTTGTGGTCAGAGCATGCTGGTAACTCATTGTACTGGAAGGGCTAGCCTTACCTTGACGCGAAGGGTAGGTGCATGGAAATTGGCGAGGGTTGGCGGCGTTCGTTACTCGAAAGCCGCGCGACAGGTGAAGGGGCTGTCCGTCTTACGCCTCTCTTTCTATCCGCGCACCTGGCCGATTTAATGACTTCGGTCTAAATTGAAATGGCCTTGGGGCTTGTTTCCGGGGCTAGGTCTGCTTGTTCCCGACAGTCTGCTGCTTAGACGCTAAAGCAATCTATCCTTTGATCTACGGAGGTGAATTTCTGACGGAAGGGAGCACGGGAAATTGGCTCAAACCACTTGTTTGGACCAATTTCTGCGATTGTTTTAACCGTCTAACTGCATAATTCTTACTTTCCTCTCCGCTCCCCTAAACGATACATGGGCTCATTTCAGACCTTCCAGTCACTGTTTCTTTAGCTTCAGACCATCATCTTATCTATAATGTTTTTTTTTAACGAAGTAACCGCATACGCTATGCTAAATCAATGGCGTCGAAGACCGCTAGAATTCCCTCTCAGAAAGGATAACAGGATAGGAAGCGTCTAATACCCGAGCCCTTTTAGGGCTTCCCCGTCTCGTAAATGTAAATGATATCCACCGGGTCGACGAGTGAAACAATGTCTGCGCGAGAAAGTGCTCGTCCCTAGTGAACAGGTGTGCCCAGCCATAAACTTTGTTGGCAGATGTTTGGGAAATTATTTCGTCCACTCACAGAGCACTGCTTACGGTCTGAGAGCACTATGCTTTTAATATCTCGGTTATTCGCGTATAAAATGTACGAATGTCCAGCAACTAGACGAACACATTAAATATTTTATACCCACACCGAAGTTTGTTCAAAGGAATTAGTGTAAAACCTAATTTCTCCTGAAATTTACCACGCGTCCAAAGTCGTATTTTAAACAAAAATTAACGGACGTTAAAGAGTTAATCGATATTGCAAAAGAGTATGGAATATTGATTGCTTCTGCTGGCATCGATGTCTCCGGACGTAGGGCACGATCGTGTCTCTCGATCCCTCGTTCCAAAGCATAGTTAAACACGAACGTTTACTGTATTTGTATCTCTGCAGTTTGATGCCCGACTGGTTTTATTTTATTTTCTTTGCCGTACCTCCGCGGCTATTTTGTGTTATTTTCTACTTTCCTGCAAATGGCGTTGGTCGTAATTGACCAACCTCAGGCAACACGGTATAACAACTTACTGGAACTCGTCGGCGACTAGTTTCTTCTAACAACATTTGCAAGGTCTCGTGGTTTCCTGCTGAGGGCGTGTATTATGTCGTTCAAAGCTAATGGTACGTCAACAAGTCTCTTTCGTGCAACGACGTGGAACGTTTTCCATTCGTACGGCGTTCTTGTTCTTGAAAACAGCG